GTGTGGGTGTGGGTGTGGGTGTGAGTGTGGGTGTGGGTGCGGGTTTGGGTGCGGGTGTGGGTGTGTGTGTGTGTGATGAGAAGATATCCGCACCCACACTCACACGCTCATCCATACCCCACACCACACACCCGCAACCACAGCCACACCATACAGTTATAACGCTCAACCGATGAGTGTGATACGAAGGCTGAGCGGTTCCGGAATCACCAGGAATTCTGCGGAATTCCTTGCAAATCCTTGCGATTCCGGATTCGTCCAATACCCGGAATTCCGTCCCGCAATTACATCCAGTTATAAGGCTCAGCACATGAGTGTGATACCAAGGCTGAGCGGTTTCGGAATCACTAGGAATTCCGCGGAATTCCTTCCGAGTCCTTGCGATTCCGGATCCGTCCAATACCCGGAATTCCGTCCCGGAATTACATCCAGTTATAAGGGTCAGCAGATGAGTGTGATACCAAGGCTGAGCGGTTCCGGAGTCACTAGGAACTCCGCGGAATTCCTTCCGAATCCTTGCGATTCCGGATTCGTCCAATATCCGGAATTCCGTGCCGAAATTACATCCAGTCATATGGCTCAGCAGATGAGTGCGATACCAAGGCTGAGCGGTTCCGGAATGACTAGGAATTCCGCGGAATTCCTTCCGAATCCTTGCGATTCCGGATCCGTCCAATACCCGGAATTACATGTAGTTATAAGGCTTAGCAGATGAGTGTGATACCAAGGCTGAGCGGTTCCGGAATCACTGGGAGTTCCGCGTAATTGCTTCCAAATCGTTGCGATTCCGGATCCGTACGATACCCGGAGTTACATCCAGTTGTAAGCCTGAGCCGATCACTGTGATACTAAGGCTGAGCGATTCCGGAATCACTAGGAATTCCGCGGAATTCCTTGCGAATCCTTGCGTTTCCGGATCCGTCTAGTATCCGTAGTTTTGTGCCGGAATTACATCCAGTTATAATGCTTAGCAGATGAGTGTGATACCAATGCTGAGCGGTTCCGGAATCACTAGGAATTCCGCGAAATTCCTTCCGAATCCTTGCGATTCCGGATCCGTCCAATATCCGGAATTCCGTGCCGGAATTACATCCAGTTATTAGGCTCAGGAGATAAGAGTGATGCCAATGCTGAGCGATTCCGGAATCGATAGGCTCTGTTGTAAATGATTCCGGAATCGATAGGCTCTGTTGTAAATGATTCCGGAATCGGATTGTGGCCTGGTTGAATTTAGTTCCGGAATCGGTGGAATTGATTCCGAGACGGGAACTGATTCCGGAATGTTCAACATCGCGGAATGGGATGTATTCTCACGCTCCGATGAATTCAAGTAATTAAGATTGCTCTTCTATCTACTACTTGAACTCTGGTGTTAGTTTTTATTCTGCGTATTCCTCACATATACTTTCAATTACAAATAGCAATTTTATTGAAAGTAAAGAAATAAACATATATTCATAACTCTAGTGTGAATGTATATCATCATTCTATTCATATTTCGATGAATGTCAACATTTTTGGCCCTAACTATTTGTTTGTTCTTTGTAATCAATAAATGGAACCTATTATAGTCTATAAAAACAGAAAGTCTTTATATCCGTTACGATCACCTAGTAAATCATTTTATGAACTCCCGGCCAATGTGATTCTATTCTTCCGGTATTTTTCTGCAAAAAGTACCCTTAGACTTACATTTCGAACACCTGACCTTGTTATTTACGATCTCGGGACACTACATCAGATATAGTAAGAGCATTCTATTTCGAACATCGGGTCGCCTCTTTACGATCTTTCGTATAAAGCCGTTTATGAACTACTGTCATCAATTTTTTCTCGATAAAAGTCAGTTCCGAACACCCAGTCGCACGGCTGGGTGTTCGGAACACCTGAAACGAAAAGTACGTCACCCCAATGGTTGCAGCAGGAGATTGGTAATCTTCCACATGAAGAACTTTGACAGTTTCTTCTTTAGTCTGTCGGACAAAGTTCCTATCTGCACATTGATTAGCTGGGATAGACGGAGCTGTAACATCCGCAGACGCTGGACTATTTCCCATGGTAATGAAAGATTTGATTGTTGTTTTTTTCAATGTTTGTTAATAATTTTAAAGAAGGCAATAATAACCAACATAGTGAAAATTGTTTGTTGTGAATCAACAACAAGATAGCAAGATGATAAAGTGCGTTTGTTTCTTCCTTTAGATACAAATCGAGAATCTGAGCCATTGCGTCGTTTTTATCTTCAGTATTTGTGTAAGGACACAAATTTTTCATTTGACGCTCTTACCATTGGGGTTCTCCTTAGAAGAGTCGCAATATTGGTCAAATATAAGGGCTTTCTTAATGATAAGATACCCCATCAGTAATTTATTCATATAACTTCCGTCGCATATTAGAAAATCATGGCTGTTTTACTACTTATACCGCATACATGATGCTAATGATCTGTTACTATTTAACTTAATATCCCAAACAGAGCCGACAGCGTGGGTGTCGGTGATTGTCTTCTTTTAACTCTCACCCTCAAGATTCACCTTGTCGGTGATTGTTCATTTTAGCATTCGATTGATCATAGAAGATTTAAAGAAAAGAATATGTTTTTAAAGAACTACAATATAACTAGACTATCATGAAAAAATATATTATAGGACATTTCAAAATCTAGTGAAGAAATACATGCTCCATGAGATGATACAGGTACGAGTTGGGCGTGGGTGTTGTTAACTTCATATGTATAGAACGAAAGGACAATCAGTGTCACTGATGTTATATGACACAGCGAAGAAAACGATGACCTTCGTGGGACACGAACCCACACATTCTGCTATCCGAGCAGATGCCCTAAGCCAGTTACAGGATGTGGGTGTGGGTGTGGGTGTGGTTGTGGGTGGGTGTGAGTGCGGATGTGTTAGGTGTGGGTGTGGATCTGGTCTTCACTCACACCTACACGCACACCTACACCCACATCTACACTTACACCCACATCCACACCTACACCCACATCCACACCCACCCACACTCACGCCCACACCCTCAACCCACACCCACACCCACACCCATACCCACGCCCAGACTCACGCCCACAGCCACACCCGCACCCACGCCCACACACCCTACTTTGTAATTCGTTTCTGTTATGAACTCAACACAATCTACGCTTATCCAGTTTAGGTTGAATAGATTGGTGTGCGATGAACGCTAATTGTTGAATAGCACCGTCTGGCCACTTAAAATTTTACTTTTCTCACTTGTCACAATGTTTAATCAAAACGATGAGCAGCTAATTATGATCTGTGGCACTTTGAAGTGCGAATCTTTCAGCCATGTCCCTCTTCTTCTTTTCATCCCTGATGCCCATGCGATCGAGCATATCATAGATCTCTTGGCTCGCATCAATATCTACTTTTGACGATGTCCAGCCTGTCCAATCACAAAAGTCATTCCAAAGCCGCTTGAAGGGCAATTTCCATCCACCAGGCACTTTGCTTATGAAGAGAATAGGCTCTTGTGAGGCAGTTGCTTTCTCGATGATTTTCCAAAGA